CCCCAAAACCCCAAAACCCCAAAACCCCAAAAATCAGAAGAATTTGAAATAAGGAATATTATTATAATAAATAACAAATATGAATTTAAGTAAGCCTACCTACTCCTTTATCATAAATCTGGACCTTAATGCAGCTGTTAACTCGGGAACCTTCATAAATTAGGCTCCTAATACTTCTAAGCCCAAATCTAGTTTCCAATTAGCGTATTACAGTTTTTAATAACAATAGCTTAAATACTCATTGAGCTTATTAAATACTTTCTAATAAAAGAAAGGATAAAAAAAATTCAAAATATTAGGCTGCACAAAACCCCAGAGAAATATACTTAATCTTCTTTGTAGTTAAGCTAAAAAGCATGAAAAAGACAAAATTCGGCAACCTTGTGAAGAAAAATGAGGATGGGTTGTCAAGTGAAGACAGTAGCGAAGATATGAATTTGAAATAAAATTACTCAAGCCTTTGGTAATCTTCCTTTTGCTTCTTACACTATAAGACTAGCTAGATGTAGTTCCTCCTATAATTGGCTTAAACTCTTACAAATAGGTGAAGCAAAGAACCAGAGATCAGATAATAAGGGTATGAACTAGAGCAGTTACTTTGTAGAATTGCAAATTACAGATTTTTAGGATATTCCACACAACTTCATGTTAAATTACTCTTGTGTAACCTTAACCGTTGTGTAGTGCCAAAGAACTCAGAAGAAATCCTGTCTTACCTCCCGAGAGAGCAGCAGATTTTGAGGAGATATGAAAGGAACAACACTCAAAAGATAGAAGAGATGGAGAAAGTCTCTCAGTTTAGACCAAGGATTACTAGTTATATTGGCATCCCAACACCTCATTCAGCTAAACCTAAATAAGTCTTTGACTTCAACACTGAAGGATGAAGAGCATCTGGTGTTAAGTAAGAAGAACTCCGCCTTTACTAATAAAGCTAATGCTAAAATTTCTGGGTTTTATAGTTCTTGAAAACACATAAGAAAGCAGTAAATTCCTAGAAAATTTTATAGAAATTACCAAATCACTGAAAGCGAGAAGGGGCTGGACAAGGTCAGGCAGCGCAATCAAAGGAATTACATTGAGATGATCACCGAGTTTAAGAATGAAGAAATTAAGAAATCCCAGAACAAAGAGAAGCTATGGATAGGAATTCTGGTGACCTTTACAATAATTCAATGTTGCATGAACGTTACAGCTTGCTTATTGTACATTATTAGTATGTAATGGTCAAATTAATCCATAGGTGATTATTCAGAAGATGATTACATCAACTACGCAGAGCTTGGAATCGCCTTTTTCTTTGCAATGGAGATGGCAGGAAGTTTCTACTTTTACCCATCCCCAAAGATAAGATTCTTCATTTCAATAGATACTTGGGTAGATTTTTGCACAATTATGCCTGAATTCTTATCTGTATTTCTCTCATCAAGTAACACGAATAGTGTGTCTTTTTTAAGAATCTTAAGAATATTAAAAATTATGAGAATTGTCAAGTTTAAGAAAACATTGAAGAAAATTCAACTAAAGAAAGTTCAAGAGGAGTTAACATTGGATTCCCAAGTAGAGACACTGTCTCGGCTCAAAAAGCAATTGATCATGCTTATAATTTCTCTTTTTGCTACTCTTTTCATCTGTTCTGGAATTATTACAGTCATGGAGCAATCGTTCGAAAAGTCAATGTCAGAGCCTTTAAAATTTATCGACTCGTTCTATTATGTTGTAATTACAGCTACTACGATCGGATATGGCGATATCTATCCAACACGGTCACAGTCACGTATCATCGTTGCGATAATTTTGATCATTATTTTCATGATCTTTGGAGACCAAATCTCTAAGATTATTGCTATCATGAAAGATTCAGACAAATATGACATAAAATATAATATGAAATCCCATACAATTCTGGTTGGGAACAGATGTTTCTCTATAATAACACCTTTCTTGCATGATGCTCTAAGAAACGCAGAGCATGAAGAGTCTAAAATCCTCATCATTGACGATGTTTCTATGACGGATAGAATGGAAAAACTCCTAGACTATGAAGCTTTTCAAGGTCGGGTTTACTTCCTGTCTGTCAGAAATGGCATCACCCACAAAACGTTTATCAAGTGCTGTGCCAACAAGGCATCTAGCATTTTTATCATTAGTGACCCTTACTCTATTAGTGGTGAAGATCAGGATAAATAAGGGATTGTTTATGAAAACCTATCTCCGAAATAACGGAGTTAATTGCCCAATCTACATCCAGTTATCCCTCTATGATGATAAATATCTAGAAAACTTTATTACCAAAAATGAGATAACTTCCAATCAATCGTAAGCTTATTTTTTCATTTCATAGCATGTATGACGACCAGATTGATGATGAAGAGGATGAAGCAGATGATATCAAATCTGCATGAAGCTACTCCGGAAGGAAGCTTGTCTCTCCTTTGCCTACTGTATCAAATAAGCCTGACTTCATTAGTGCAATCTGATACAGGAAATTCAAATTTAACTTATTAGCACAGAGCATGTTTTCTCAAGGGCTTTTACCATTTGTGACATGATTCTTAATAGATTCACCTATCCAGCTTTCTGAAATTCAGTAAGTGAACTCTCATGCTAACTCATAGCAAGAGGGAACCCCAGCTGTCATCTGTTGATAAGGAGCTATCAATCCCAAATAAGCTATGAAAGCTATACAACAGGTCTCTTGAATACAATCTGTACATAATAGATCTTCCTTTCATGTGTGAAAACTTTGTATTTGAGGATGCTGTCAAGAAGATAGACCTCCTAGAGACTCATCCACTATTCGTGTCAACAGGCACTAAGCTCAAGCTCATTGGCTTAATCGAGCATGATGTTGATGAGAATAACTTAACTATTGATAGCTGAACCCCTCGCAATTTGTACGCTCCCTTTGGTTCAATCATTTCATACTCACATAAAGGAATTTATATATGAAATAACCCAAAAATCACATCCTGGCTTGAGAAGAAAAGTGACTCAGAAAGACTCCTCAGAGAGACCATGAAGAATGATAAGGATCGAAAGAAGAAAAATAAGATTTCTCACTTTGATAACAATGCTCTTGATAAGGAAGAATCAAGTACAATTATACTAACCCATAGTCGCATTCTCACGGATTCAGACACGGGTTAGAAATCAAGAAAGAAGCCAAAGAGATCTTCCAAGGTCAAAAACCTCAACTGCAAAGAGAGCTGGAAATATTCTCATTGAGGATCCCCATTCTAACCAAAAAGATAAATTTCTGTTTGGAGGTAAGCTTAATATGATTATTGTTAACAAATTATAGACGATGAGCCGTCTGAGATCGAGTTGGAAGAAGCCAAGCAACCCATATTAGAGCTCATAAAAAATCTTATAGTGGATAAGCATAGCTATTTCAATCAAATCAAAGAAGATGTCCTCTGGGCTGGCACTGACCTTAGTGGAAGAATAAACAAGCATATTGTGATTCTTGGTTATGTAGAAGGCCTAGACTACTTCATCGATGCTGTTCGGCGAGAATCTGATATTCCAATAATAATCTGAGATATAGTCCAGAAAATAGAACCAATAAAGAGAGTAATCAACAGATTCGAGTATGTTTACCAGTATGTTGATGAGCCTCGGGATGTAAATTGCATTAACAAACTCAACATTTCTGCTGCACACCATGTCCTAATTGTGTCAAATATAACAAAAGAGACTGAAGGACTAGACATTGACGCTATACTTCTAGCAAGCTACATTCAAGAGTGGTACCCAAATGTCAAAATGACTGTTGAATTCCAGAACGAAAACAGTATAAAAATGATAGAAACTTCTCTATTCTCAAATTACTACATTGACACCACAAAATTATATTCAATGAGCTTTATGTCTGGAAGAGTTCTCAATTCTTCCCTGTTTCTTGACATAGGGAGTAAGCTGAAGACAAACCCTCTTCAGCTCAAGTTCCTGAACGATCTCTTTTACAATGTCATTGACGAATCTAATATTTTGGCACTAAAGATCAACGAAGATCTAGGTAACACATCTGTCCTAATATGGCATAGACGGGAGAGAATACCAATCAGTGTACGAAGAGTTCTTGGATGATGAAATCACCCCTCTCTTATGACTGGGAGTGTTCACCTCGAGATTTACTACACCAATCCAAGACTACCTTGATAAATTCCTTGAAGTTGAACCAGAGTATCATGAATTCAAGTAAGTTTTACCTTTACTCTTAGGATGAAATAGGAGTAATGCTAGCATGATGGGGTATAATAGCTGAGAGAATAGTAAAGAAATGCCTCTTGACGAAGATGACCAAGAGGATTACAACTTCCTAATAAATACCCTATCCGTCTTCCTCCTTAACCCAACCAAAGACTACATCCTCAAGCAAGGAGATATTCTGTATTGCCTTGGGAGTATAAATAATGACAAAATACAACCAAAAATCCAGTCCACCATAATAAAAACTCTGTAACCCCCTCCCTAACCTTTAGCCGGGCTTATTCAAGTCCCACTTTCAAACCCCCTCAAAATCCTGCCAACCCAGACCCCTCCCAAGAACAAAACCTTTGACATAAGAGCATCGAAAAAGTATTATCTGAACTAGAGTCCAGACTTTTATCAAACGATTCCCACTTCAGTCACTAAGTAACCAATCCAGACTCCTCAGAAAGGAATAATAGTGCTTTCAGATTATTAAAAGGACATTTCTCCTTGCTTAGCGGGATAATCTAATACGACTACCTATTTTTAATACTTTCTTAGACTTTTGGTCGAATTTTTGGGACATTTTGGTCAGAGTTTCTTCGAGGTGATAGTGAAGAGGGGATTTGGGGCTTGGGATTTTAGGAGGTGAAGTAAGGGATTGGTGGAAATTGGGCTTTGAAGGATGGGGAATTTTTGTTACAGAATATAGATATTTTAGTAGGTGTTAGTGCATTGGATTTGGTATTTTTGAGGTTAATAGGAAGGAATTTTTAAGATGAATGGTGTAGTGTGAGGGCTGTTACATGAGATCTATGGGAGGTTATGAATATATGTAGTACTTTATCTCTCATTCTAGGTATATAATAATATTAGTTCAATTGCTTTCTTCTCATTAGGGGTTTTGGGGTTTTGGGGTTTTGGGGTTTTGGGG